CCAAAGGCTCTAGGGAACATCTGGTTCAACCCCTCTCAAACATTCCCTAGTCTTTAGATAGTTATCTCTCTTTGTCTCCTCCCATTATCTTCAACCTGTGTGTGTCCTTGTCTCTTCAAGTGACTTTTTTTTTTTTTAGTAAAGACCCCAGTCATATTGGACTAGGGACTTATTCTATCCCAGCATGACCTCATCTTGACTAACTCCATCTGTGACCTTTCCAATATTTCCAAATAAGATCATGTTCCAAAGTCATATATATTAAAATTTCAACATCTGAATTATAGGGGAACACAACTCAAAATAGCATATGGCTAAAGGGACTTGGTAGATAAAATTAATTTAGAAATCTTGAGATTGTGAGATTACCCTGGATTATCCCATGGCCCAAGATTCTTATTTGAGGAAGGGACTCTTATTTGAGGAAGACAATAGAATGACAATTTTTTAAAAAGTGGTGAGATGTGGAAATGAGAAGAGCCTCAAAACTCTAAATGCAAGAAAGAAGATTTTTTCCCTACAACCTTCTGAAGGAAGCAGACCCATTGGCATCTTGATTATAGCTTACTAAAACTGATTTTGGATTTATGACCTTTAGAATTGTAAAAAAAATAAATTATGTGGTTTTAAGCCATGAAGTTAAATAGTTTGATATAGAAGGAAATAAGAATTTTCAGTAAACACATAAAACATCAACCTCCACAGTAACTGAGGAAATAAATGAAAAGAAAATTCTATTTCATGTTTTGAGATCCACAAAATGTTTAATGGCTGACAACATCCTGTGGAAAAATTAATCAGAGATGGTGTTTACACTCTTTCAGATACAGAAAAATAACTACACAGAGAATAATTTATACAACCATTTAGGAGAACAATGTGCCTAAGCTAGTTTAAAACWTATCTTAAAACCCAACAATTCTAATTTCTGATTTCAATATTAAAGAAATTTTAAAAATGTGAGATGGGAGACATTTGTAAGGTTGCTTGCTGCAGTGCCACTTAAAAGCAGTAAATATAATAAATGATAGTGGAATTAAAGAGTAGTAGTTTATTCATATGATGGAAATAAGCAGTTATTACAAGCCAACAAGTGGTTATACAYATGTTTTCTTGGAGGAATCTTAAAATGCTGAAAGCAAACAGAAAATGTCAGATTGATACATACTGCATGACACCTCAAAATGTAAATAAAATATATAATATATTGCTCGTTGATATATAAGAATGAAATTTTTAAAAAGCATGCATGGAATCTTCCCAATAGTGGTTACTACTTTTCAAAGAGAAAATAGAGATCAGAGGTGACTATTTTTGCTCTCCCTGTAAGGTGTGAGGGAAAGAGAACAGGAGAAAGTAGAGAGCAAGAGAGATCGTTTTGTTATAGTTAAAGCTTCGTCCCAGGGTTTCATGAACTGACTTCCAGACCACTCACATATAATCGAATCAAGCCTTTATTGAAGCACACCGGTGGCGGCTGACCAGAACATAAAGCTGTTCCCCTGATCAGCCCCGARCAATTGCAAGGGTACTCCTTATAAGCCTGAAAACCACAAAAGGGATGTTCAGGGGGTCTAGCCAATGCAAGCAAGCCAGGTTACAGAAGCAGGACAGTGCAGTCAAGCAGAGGGAAGCCTAACCAATCACAGTTAGCCCAGTCACCCCAGGTACAGAAACAGCGCCCCGTTACCCTAGTTACAGAAACAATGCCCCAATAGGTAGTTCCAGGTTCTTAAAGGTTTCTATAGCAAAAGGAAAAGAACATCTTGCTCCAGTCATGACTCTTCTACTTGGCATGGTTGTTTTACAGGATGAAGTCATAAAACAAAATGGAGTCATATTTGCTCCTACTATCACAGTTTAAAACAGCAAAATTAAATACATCTATTCTCACTTCTGGGCTCATAGATGTCTGTTATTTAATTTTCTGTACTTTTTCAATGAAAATTAGATAATACATTTTTTTAAAATTTTTAAATAGACAGCAACAACTTCAATTTTTACATCTCTGCCAGTCCACAGAACAGAGAATAGAAACTTTGTCATCTACACCTTTACCAGGCATATTCCCAGTAGGCAACATAAATGCCAATAGAAATTCCATTGGAATTTTCTTACGAATACAAATACGCTCCACCTGAAACAAACAATTCAGAGGCTCCCTTCMCTAGTACACAGCACATACTTTCTCAATATACAAAAGAAAGAGAAAGAAATCAAATCAGTGAGTCATATGCCCACAATTTGTCAGGATATAAGCTCCTCTTGGATCTCAAAGTTTGCTTTAAGTTCTTTTACATAGGATAAAAATTGGGGTAGAAAATTTGTAGTAGTTTTTGTCTTTTGGGAAGAGCTTCCACTGGGATAAAATATAAAGGAATAAAAAGGTATGCAATGCCAGGGTTAGAATTTGTGGTCAGTATCAGAGCTGAGGCATTATCAAAGATGTGAGTGGTGGGGAGAATTTGGAAGATCTGGGAACCTTAATAGTATATAAGTTTGGGAACTTTATAAAGGAACCAGGGAGAGGCTGAGGACAGACGACTATGGAATAATTCAAGTATTTTCATTTAGGTTTCTTTGTGAAACAGTCAAACCAAAAAATTCCCTTTGGAATTTGAGAGTTTGGCATAAACTCCTTCACCAGATAAATTTTCAGCATAAAGTGGAAGAGAGTCTTCATTCATTCCATGTTCAAAGAGGAAGAGGTTTTTGTTTTGGACATCATTTGTACAATTAACAATTGAAACTAACTGTTGAAACAATGAAGTTCAATATCCTGAAAACTCTAACAAGAATTGCAACAAACAACACATATGCACTCCTTACAACAACATAGATACATGTTGGAATTTAGAGGGCCCAGTGACCCTCTCTTTGAAGACATCTAATAAAACTAAACACAAAGTTACATTATAAATCATATAACTTTAACTGCTTCATCGGGAACTCTGAGACACAACTGAAGAGACTTCAGAACTTGGAAGCCTGTTTTGATCTCCTTTGAGCAGACATTCTACTGCTGTAAAGTTATCAGTTTCCACGAYTTGGGGACAATTGGTGAAATGGGCCATCGGAGTAGATCTCAAATAATTAGAAACTTCCTGGCACCACTCACTGGTCTGATATTTAAAACTATATTGAAGAACTGTAACTGTTTTGGAGAACTTGTCTGTACTTTTTTCCCTAGTCATCTATTTATCTTGGTCACTCTATATTAATTCACTCATTAAAACAATGAGCCGAATGGAAGATTGACAGTGACATTCCACAGTAAGTAGATTACAAGGAGAATCAATGTATCATCATTCTATTTTAAATGGGTCCKCAAAATTATTCCACTGAATTATACCCATGTGTGTCAACTAGATCTGTCTGCAATTCCCTGTGTGCCAATCCTCAAAACTGATTACTTTTCCCATGCCCACTTTAAGGTTCTGCCTAACTTAATTACCAGAGAAAGAGGAGTAGACAATGTAAAGTTTTGTGGTGAGCCATTCTTTTCTCACCTATGCTGGGTCATGTGGTCTATGAACCCCCATTTCCTGGGGTAGTATCATGAGAACCCAGGAAGTATATATGTACACTGCCAGGCTCTCAGGCACTGAACTCTGGGTCTGAGGCAGAAATAACATTTTTGTGCAGACGGATATGCTGCTCTCCCACCTGCTGTGGGTCTGCGTGGCCTTCATCTACTCCTACTCCAGTAGGTTGGGTTTAAACATGGCTAAGGATGTTAAGGAGAAAAGTCCTAGGTGCTTCACATGGCCTCAAGAAGGAAAGGGGGAATGGAGAAAAGCAATTTATGACTCCAGCTTGGTTTGGTTTGGATCCTAAATGAGTCTCATGCTTACAATATTTTACTCACTACATCAGAGGATCAGCTCTGTTTTCTGATTGTTCCCACAGGATTCAGTATGGCCCAGAAAGTGACTCAAGTCCAGCCAGCCACATCTGGTCAGGAGGGAGAAGCAGTCACCCTGGACTGTTCGTATGAAACGAGTTATCCTACATACTATATTTTTTGGTACAAACAACTTTCCAGTGGAGAGATCATTTTCCTTATTCAAAAGAGCTCTTCTGGTTCAGATGAAAGAAAAGGTCGCTATTCTGTCCAGTTCAGGAGAGCAGCTAAATCCATCAGCCTTACCATTTCACCCTTACAACGGGAAGACTCAGCCAAGTATTTCTGTGCTCTGAGAGAAAACACAGTGTTTGAATCGATAGCAAAAGCTGAACAAAAACTCAGGAGCTCCATGGGAGATGGGCCCCTGCTGCAGAAGCCAGCTGAGATGCACCTGCAGAGCCCAGATGAGAAGGTAGTGACTGTGGCTGCCTACTTTGTGGTTTAGATCAGAAGATTCAATTCTAAGTAAAAACTGCTTCTATCCCATTTGGAAAGAGGTCTCTGCAGCAACTTTCTTCTAATACATTCTCGGTCTTAGATGTTTGGCTTAAAATAGATCATACAGAACATGCTTGTCTAAAGTTGAAATAACTTGCCCCATCATAGTTTACAGCAGTAGTTTCACYTAAAGACGCTCATAGCACAAATCTGGGTCTAGTTACCTAGGATCACCATGAAAATAATTTATTTAGCCCTTTCCCATAGACTATATGTTAGACAAATCCAAGAAGCATAACAATAAGAGATCTATTATTAGGATTAGACTTCAAGCAATTTCTGGATTTGGTGGGGGGGGGGTTCTATGCAAAGCTGTTTTTGTTTGCCTTAATTTACTAAAGGTCAGTGAGACTAACATTCAGGAAAGAAAGTTGGATGAGGACAAGCACATCAATGAACAATGGTTCATAAGACATACTAATCCCAACACTGCTAACAACAAAAATAATAATAAGAAGAAAAAAATTTGAGCTGGTAACTCAGATGCAACCTGTGCCTGAAATCATGCGCATACAATACATTACAACATGGCTGGGAACTCACTCAAAGTGTTTGAAGTGATAGCAAAAGCTGAACAGAAAYTCAGGAGTCCCAGAAGAGAAACCCCTGCTACAAGAACACAGCTGAGATACACCTGCAAATCCTATACAAGAAAGTAGCAACTGTAGCTGCATAATCTGTGGTCAGGATCAAATATTGCTACTGCATCATACCCATCTTCCAAATCTTGCACAATTTCTCTCATGGCCAATCCAAACAGCAATACTGAGAAACAAATTCTGTGAAATATTTCCAGGTAGTTCATTTGAGATGATGCAAAGGTATCATAATACCCCCTTGTCAACTTGGCATCCATCCCTTTAATACTGCTTAACATTCAAATAAAGACAACAGAATGATAGGCACCGTGTCACACACCTGTAATCCCAGTTACTTGGGAGGATAAGGAATGCAGGTTGCAAACTCAAACCAGTCTGGGCAATTTAGTAAGACCTTGTCTCAAAATAAAAATAAAAAGGACCATAGATGTAGCTTAGTGGTAGAGTGCTTGCCTTGCATGTGTGAAACCCTGGGTTCAATTCCCAGTAATACACACCATGCATGCACACACGCGCGCGCACACACACACATACACACACATACACACACACACACACACACACACACACACACATAGATAATATAATAATCATGCTTCCTGCTAATATGTGCAACTATTTCTCACTCAAATAAAACATGCAAACTCTGTCTCCCCAAAAATATTACAAAATTCATGTATCCATCCCTGGGTGATATTCACAACTCCTTTAGCTAAGTCACACCCTTCCATTAATATTCAGTAGTTTAACTAATGCAATATAATAAGATATAGAATTAACTTACAATAGTACATCTTATCATTAAATGGGAGGAGAGAAAACCCTGGTGAATATATACACAAATATACTAATATCAAAATGAAAAATAAATTTTATAATTTAGGCTTTGTTTCTATGAATACTCACAGGATTGCAGCTGGTTTTTATCACTAGCTTTTTGGTTAAACATTTAATAACTTCTTTTTTATATATACTGTGSATTGAAGGGGTGCTTTAGCACTGAGCTACACCCTCAGTCCTTTTTATTTTTTATTTTGAGAAAGGGTCTTGCTAAATTACTGAGGCTGGGGGGTTGAACTTGGAATCTTCCTTCCTCAGCCTCCTAGTCGCTGAGATTAAAAGCATGCGCCACCATGCCCAGCCATAATCTCTTAGTTGAAGCTAACACCTCTACTCACTCTTACATTGGATTTTCTCTAAAAGAAGCTCCTTGTTCAGGAGTAATGCTATACAAAATGCCATAAAGTTGAGTGAAGCATTCCTAGGTCCACTAATGTGGATTTAGCAAAGTATTAAAGGCCTAAAAAATTTATATTCAGTTGTCTATTAAGTGCAACACTACCCCCACCCCTCCCCAAAAAATCTACCAACAAAGTTCATAGACTGTGTTCTGAGAAATATTATTAAGAATGATGCCTACTTTGTCATTAGAAGCATTGTAAGTCAATGAAGAAAGAGTGTTTTTTAAGTGTTTTTAGAAAGCAAAACCATTAAGCTACTTTTTTATACACATGAAATTCATTYTTAATGGTCTTTGTAAAAATCACTATTAAGAATGTGGAAAGTTGGGGCTGGGGTTGTGACTCAGAGATAGAACGCTCACCTAGCATGTGTGAGGCACCGGGTTCGATCCTCAGCACCAGATAAAAATAAAATAAAGATATTGCATCCACCTATAATTAAAAAATAATTTTTAAAAAATGTGGAAAGTCAATACACACACTGGAAAACTATATTTACAATGCATATTTCTGAAAAAAGTATTCAAATGTACAATGTATAAAAGCCTCATATGAATCAATAAGGAAAAAACAATAAAATGGCAAGAATTACAGCAAGAAAATATAAAAAACAAGAGTGATGATAATACTGTATCCAAGGTTTTGTGAAAATTGAGTGAGAAAAACACGTTTTGAAACATAGCAAGTTAAAGGTTTAATGTTGTGCTTTACACAGATAAATGTTTAATAAATCTTACCTATTATTTTTATCGTAAAAAATGGTAAAAACTTAGCTGCTTCAAAAATTTTATATCCTTAGTATCACTACTCATTAAGGAAATGAAAATAAAACTATTTGAGGGTTTTAGCACCCTGAAGATATTAATGTAGTCAGGAGGAAATTATCTCAAAAGGATAGGGGGAAATAACTACCTTCCAAGGAAAGGGATGATTGAATAAATATTCTARATGCTTCTATTTTAAAACCATATGAAGAGAAGAACAAGCCACAGATCTGGGCATTGCAGGAAAGGCAGGTTTTACTAAGAAAAAAATGAATGTTGATGTTTATTGAGTTTACTACTGAGGCACTGTATTACACATTTCAGAACCATTGTCTACACATCAACACCCTATGTAGTAGGTTTTATTGTTTAGGAGTCAAGACATAACTTTTCCTGATTTTGAAGAGCATCTCTAACTTTTATTGTTATCCAAGGTGTAGCATCTGAAAAGGCTCCTAAAGAGCAAGGTTTTGCCTAAGGAGAGGCAGTAGCCCCAGAGTAGGGTGGCTGATGTTTCAGTGACGGTGACATTATTGATTTCAGCAGGATCTCAGCAGAATTGGAGAAAAAGATGCCAAACCTAGGTACAAATTGCTCAAKGTTAAAATAGTCATCAACTAACCAGTTAACTGTGCCACATACATTAGCCAGTCTCCTATGACAGTGTGCTGGAAGGAGTGAGAGACTAGAGGGAAAGATTATTTCTGAAACTTCCTAGACATGTTTCCGTATCAGCAACTTTGCCCTTTGCCTTTCCTCAGCCTTCAATGCTATTCCTTCAAATATCCATTCAACTATCCATATGGTGCACCTCTGATCTTCCTCTATGCCTTTACTCAATTGTCACTACTTTATGAAACCTTTGCCCAAATCTATTTTCCTACTTTGMCAATCAGGGTCTAGCACCCTCCCTGTGTGGAGAAAAGGGAGCTGCTCTTGACTGAAGCACTGCCACCTGGTGTCCAGCTAAAATATTCTGTGATTTTTCTCTCATCYAACTGCCTTTAGTATTTATGAGTTAAATGGTGTCAAAGTCTACTGGCCACAGGGGCTTGCTGAACCAAAGCCCCTGAATTTCCCATAGCATTAATCATACCAGAGAGTATTCAGGAGGGCTGGCTGGTTTTTTGATCTATCGCCCTGCCCCATGTGAAAGTGACTTGAAATGACTGATAGAATACATGGAGTGATTTGGGCTGAAGAGTAGTTGGCTACTGTGGAAATAAAACTTGACATTTTTGTACAAGGTAGGAGGTTTTTCTCTGTTAAGTGAAATTTTGCTTTCTGTTCTATCCTTTACTATATTATGCAAATGTCCTAAGTTGTGGGGTTAAGAATCCTTAGTGAAAAAAATTAGTCATTGTATAGTGAACTCATATTATTAAACTTCATATTATAGGACACCTCTCAACCTCCCAATATAACATTGAATTGCACTGAGTTCTCATTAAGAGTAAGGAGCATAATAGACCATGAATATCTATGATAACTCATAAAATCTGCTGTCAATTTCAAAATACTCCTCAGGAAAAAAAAAACAAACATTGTAAGCTTGATCTTGTGGATAGTCTCTAATACAGTTTTAGATTGTATCTCCAACCTCCCACTATTTTATATATTGAGTGCAACTGGTTGACTGCCTAAGGTAGGGCAGTTATTCTATGAGGTGATTTACCTCTGTGCTATAATTTAATTCTTATTGTAACTCTTCAAGATTGGTAATACCTTCCTTTAGTGAGTGTTATGGTTTGAATATGATTTCTATGTATGACCCTGGCTTTCTAATGCAGAAGAGGAGTGAGCATCATAAAGGATGGTGAAGAGTTCTAGGGTCACTGCCTGTACCAGCACCAGTTTCATCTGCTGCTTCCTTTCCAGCTTTATTCTTTATGGCTTATACTAGAGCATGTGAGAATCTGTGAAATGTCCCAAGATCCCATTTGTAATGACTTTAAGAAATAAGGATGACTTTAAAAAATAAGGATGTCTTTAAGAAATAAGGATGACTAAGAGCCAATCTTAACACTAAGGAGGGTTGCAGCTACTGGTACATCAAAAGATCCTAGTCCAAATACTCAGTCGCACAGATTTGTGCCCTGATAGTGCTCTTGAGGCACCTGCAATGGCACCCAACTGTGGCTAGTGCTGCTCTAAGAGCCAGCATCAACAAAGAGCAATGTACTTTGGAAAAGGAAAATTCAG